CGTTGTGCTCCGCCACGCCCGGAGGCACCGTGGACTGCTGCGTGTGCACCGTGGGGTAGCTGAACACGAGCGACCTTCCTGAGAGGAGCGCGCGGTTGAAGGACTCTACCAGCGCTGAGTCCAGGACGACCTGTGAGGCCAGAACTCGGACGTTCTGGATCTCGAAGTCGGTGCTCAGCGTGGCTCCCGCCGGGTGCGCCCCGGCGTTCTCAGACCACAGCGCAGTCGTGGCGTCCGCGAACTCGATCTCTATCACCAGGTTCAGCTGCGGCGGCAGCATCTTCCCGCAGCGCAGGATGCCCACCATGGTGGGGCGCAGCAGCACGTCCGCGTAGCCGCTCTGGTGCACCGCGCGGGGCGTCCGAGAGTTGTTCACCTCGTCGAAGCCCTCCACGGCCTTGTTCTGGTTGTACTCGCGGCCCTTCAGCAGGTCATGCACGGCCACGGTGCGGCCGTAGTAGTTAATGTCGTCGCAGCGCTGGCCGTTGGCGAAGACCTGGATCCTCTGGATGAAACAGGCGGGGTTCGGAGTGGCAGGCGCCAGCGGGTTGGTGGCGTCCGTGTTTCTGACTCTGAAGGCGATCTTGATCGACTCGGGGTCGATGAACGAGGTACCGCTGGTCAGCGGAATGCGGCAGACCCTCGAGGTGGCTGGGGAGAAGGAGCTCAGCGAGCTGGGAAATACTGCACGTCGTGCCGTGCTGTCACGTAGTTGGTGTTGCTGGTTTTCAGCTTGTAGTCCAGGCTCTGCATCAACTCATCCTGTGCTCCGGCTGTGACTACCTCCATGCTTCTTTATACATACGCGTTTTCACTCGTACGGCGAAGAAAGCTATTCTCCCGCCTGTAACTTCGGGGTGTCTGTGGGAGAATGGATTTTTTTTTTACGCCGCCTCGATGTCTCGGGCCAGCTGGTCGTAGCTCGGCGGAGGCAGGCGGCTCTGGCGCGACTGTCCGGAGCTGCGAGAGCTTGCCCGGGAGACTGAGGCAGAGTCACAGGGTTCAGGCCCCAGGAGAAGGGGCGTGGCGTGTGATTGGTCTGCGCCTGGGAGGAGGCGCGGCTGCTTGCGGGGCTGCCTGAAGTGCTGCTGCCGGAGCGCAGCGAAGTGCTGGGGCTGAGTGGCGTCGTTCATGTTGTTGGCAGACCGGACGTCCTGCACAGCCGCGTCCTCACTGCTTTGCTGAGGCCGGAAGAGCGTGTTCTCCAGCACCCAGCCCGTGCCGCGCGCGAGACCGTAGGCTGCGCCGCCTGCGAGTCCCACGGCCAGCCTTGCCGCCGCGCCAACTCCCGCCGCACCAGCCAGCGTTCCAGCAACCTCGCCCGCGGTGGGCGCCAGGGCTGCTGCTCCTTCTGCCAGGCCTCCCAGGTACGCAAAACGCCCTCGGCGGCAACGGCAACCTCTCCCTCCTCCGCAGCCACTGCTGCCGTTTCCTCTATGGCCTGCGCTGCGCCGCGCTCCACCTCCTGCGCGCGCTGCCCCGCCTCGCCCAGGAGGCGCTCTATGTCGTCGGGTCGACCGATGATCTGCGGAGGTGGCTGTGGCTGAGGCCCAGGGCGGGGCATCGCGTTCAGGCGGACGTACTCAGCAGCATCCTGGGGGAGCTGGGAGCGGAAGGCCTGCGCCGCCGCAAGCCCTGCTGCTTCTGCGCCCACGAGGTTTCGCTGCTGCCTGCGCTCCGTCGGCCGCGCTGCGCAGACGGCCCGTAATGGAGGGCGGCCCCTGTCCGTTGTTTGTCAGCGCGTCGGCCTCTGGGTCTCTTGCAAGGTCGTCCTCGCCGAAGCGGTTTCCTCGGCCTTGGCGCATCCGGGCCAAGTCCTCGTCCGTGGCCTCTGCGGGAGTGCGGAAGCCTTCCTCGGGAATTGCTCTCAGGGGCGTGTGCTGCAGAGGCTGCGGGTTGGGGTCCTCGCTGGACTGCACGAAGTCGTCCAAGTAGAAGTGGCTCGTGATGAATGTGGTGGCCTTGCGGTCCGGCTGGTCCAGGGGCAGCGGCTCATTCCGCTCCAGGTAGCCCACCACCTGCTCGAAGCGCGGGCGCTGGTTGAAGCCGTGGGACCGAAGTGTCTTCATTTACTGTTGCGCAACTTCGTCCGCCGCCCGTTCCACGCCCCGGCGCTCGGCGCGCGCGTAGCGCAGCTGGGGGACCACTGCCTCCGTCAGCCGGCCGCACCTCCTCCAGCTCTCGCTGGCGCTTCAGCAGCAGCGGCTGCAGGTCGTAACTGGGATACGTCTTGCGAAACCACCGGAGCATCTGCGGCTCGTTGCGGGGTTCCGGGGACATCATCTTGCTTTTCATACCAGTACGCTAGCGCCCGCCGTCAGCCGGTCGTACGCCGACTGCCTCTCCAGCATGCGCATGGCGCGCTCGCTCGGCCAAGGCGCTTCTTCGGGCTCGGGCCGCACGGGCCGTACCTCTCTGTGTACCTCGGGCTCGGGCTGTACCTCGGGCTCTGGTCGTACCTCGGGCTCAGGCTGTGCCTTGTGCTCTGTCTTGGGCGCTGCCTTGGGCTCCTTGGGTGCTGCCTTGGTCAAAAGTGCTGCCTTGGGTGCGCTGCCTTGGGCGCTGCCTTGGGTGCTGTGTTGGGTGCAGCCTTTGGTGCAGCCTTGGGTGCTGGCTTGGACTTGGGCGGGGGGAGCGCGCTTGTCTTGGGCTTTGTGGGAAATCTCACCCTCTTGGGCCGGAAGGGGGAGTCTATTTCGTACGCTGGCTCCGTGGGCAGGTCGGGGATCATGTTTTTGCTCTTCGCAGGCGGCTTGGGCTTGTTCTTACTGCCCGGAGGCCTGCCTCTAGGCCTTGGCGCCGGTTGCGCTTGCTTCATCGTTTTTTTTAATAGGAAATATTTTTTAAACGACCTTCGGGGGATTAGACGTGATCCAAAAACAGCACGAACGACAAGGACGAGCCCCTCAGTCGGACGACTTGCCCTTCCAGATCGGTCAGCCGGAAGCGCATGTGTCTCAGGGTGATGGGCCCCCTGACAGCCATGAAGTGCCCGTCATCGGAGCCGGTCTCAACGATGGTGCCCACGGCTTCAGAGTGATCTTGGACAGGATGTCGTCCCCCAGGTTGCCCAACACGCGGCTGGCGTTGGCCAGCTGGGCGCAGCGCAGGTAGACCTCGTTGCATGCCATCATCTTGATGAACTAGAAGACCTGCTGCCCGCCGGAGACGAAGCTCGGGCCGAGCATGTGGTCCACACTGAAGGGCTTGCTCGGAGAGGCGGCCGGCGAGGTGGGGTAGTCCACTGCGTCTGGGAACTGCTATGAGCGGTTGCCGTCGTAGGCTACGCTGAGGCTGTTCGTGGTCTCGCTGTAGGTGGCTGTGGCGAAGTTGGAGCTGATCCAGCCTGGAGCCCGTGTACGCACCTTCGGGCAGTAACGCCCAGTTCAGAGTCCCAAGCGCGGCGTCTACCCAGTAGAGGTAGCGGCCGCGATCCGTCGACAAAAAGCTGTCGGCGATTCTGATCTTGTAGACGGCCAGCCGGGCGTCGCTGTGCAGCGACTCTCCCAGGTCGACCTTGAAGTCGCTGTCCGAGCCGGCTACCCTCTTGCGGCTGTCCACGTAGATAGTCGTCATCCCTTTTCCAAGGAAGCCGCCCGTTCTACGCGACAGCCGGGTGGGCGGCTGCCGCGGAAGTACAGCAGGAGATGTTCTCACACCTCGCGTTGATCAGAGTGGAGCTGGCGAACAGCTTCTGGCCCAGGAAGCTGAGCGCCGCTCCCATCGGCTTCTTTTTCCAATGCGAAGCGCTCTTCGAAGCGCAAGTAGAACATCTCATTCTTCGGCTTGAGGAAGTACACGAAGAGGAAGCTGTAGGGGTCCCTGGTCGCCTGCTCGTAGATCCTGTGCAGCTTGTCCTTCGGCAACAGGGCGCTCAGCTCTTCGATGACGGCGTCCAGCTCGTGCTGGTTGCGCAGCCTTGAGCAGCAGAGGAACTGCTGATTGACCCGCACGGCTGCGCTGATGAGCCTCAGCTTCTGGGAGCTCACCCAGGTGCTGATCTGCATGTGCCTGCCTCGAATGAAGAGGGCACCCAGGGCGCCGTTGGGTTTATGCAGTTGCGGCATATCCGCTACATCGTCCAGGATGATCAGCGCCTGATACAGCTTCTTCATCTCCAACTTCTTGGTGTCTCGGTGATCTTCCAGATGCCCCGCAGCGCCGCCTCGTCCCAGTCCTCCCAGTAGGCCTGCTCTTTCTCCGTGTTCGCCCCCAGGTCCTGCTCTATGTACTTTTTGAGCCTTCATCGCCTTTAACTTCATGACTTTTGTCGATTGGGCCACCTTTGCGGCCTTCATCAAGCGGGCAGCCTTCATGGCCTTCATCACCTTCATGACTTTCGGCGCCATTGGTATCGAAAATGCTAGACGCAACTATACTTCGCGGTTGCAAGATTGCAACACGAGCTGGGCCGAGGTAAGATATATATGTGTGCAAAACAACAGGCGCCGCCCACAGTTTGCTGAAACTGCGAAACAGTACAAACAGCCACAAAGCCACATATGATGCGCGTAAAAGTGTACAACTTATGTTTTCCATTGCATCTTTCCTTTTCGCACACTGCTCGCATGAGGCTCCACGTGTGTTTCGCAATTGCTCAGCGCACGCGAAGCCGTGCCAAGATGCCCGTCAACCGCTCGAAGCACCCCGTCGTCTTGTTGCCAGCTTGGCGCAAAAAGCTCTGCATGGAGCTTCGGGTTGTGGGCCCTCCCTCCATAGCATGACATACTCGATCGAATCTCTTCCAAATGCGATTGATGCTAGCAGTCTAACAGCAGTACCTCACAAGTACAAACACATCCCAGAAGCCACTCCTTCGGTTCTAACTGTAAGAAAAGCGTCAGCTCCGCGTACAACGGATCACCGCTCTGGACCCTGGAAGCGGCCCTGGCAAAACAACCTGGCAAATATCTTGGGTCACGATTACTTTTTGCTTCTGTTGCAGCTGTTTTTTCCTGTTCAAATATATCATACAATGGGTTTGTGGTGGCATAACGCGCCTCCGCTTTTTGTGCATTGCCCCATCCGCGATGCGCAGGCTGGCTGGCGTTGTCTGACGTTGAGACTGAGCTCTCGCCAAAGGAGTGGGATTCCATCATGTCAAAGCTCACCGCCTGCAAGGCCAGCGTGGCAGGTCTACAGCGCGATGTGGGAAAACGACCACTATTTTGTCCAGAGAGCACTGACGGCGGGACCATATCCGAACCAACTCCGGGATCCGGCAGTCGTCTACCCTCCGCAAACTCCGGCGTCATTTTTGACCAGAGCTTCTTCACCTCCTTGGACTGGTCCTCATCGAACTTGACGGCCTGCCCCTCAATCTGTTCGTTGCTCTTCTTAGAAATCTTTCTTTCACGCTCAATCTGAGCCGCAGCGTAGTACTCTTTGCCGCCCTCCTGAAGCTTCACCACCTCGCCCGAAACCAGGGTTGCGTCATCCTTGATCTGCCACTTGGACATGAACAAGTTCTTGCCGACGCCCTTCTCCTTCTCCGCCTTCGAGTCCACGGTCTCCAGCTGCTTTTGCGTGCTGAAGGTCAACTTCTCCGGCCGAAGCTTCAGCGCCCCACCTTCTTTCACAAAGAGGGTGTTGATCAGCTTGGTCTTGTCCTCGCGGGAGCCACAGGACTGATACTCCGCCAGCACCGCAGCAGGCTCTCCTCGGCCAGCATCTTCTTGAACTTCTGCGCCTTTGACCGGTCACGGCCAGCCTCACCCCCATCCTCAGCCTCTGCGTCGCCTGCTTTTTCTTCGGGAGCTCGCACTACCTGGTCGCCCAAGTCAAACAAGTCCTGGAGGAGTTCCTTCTTCCTTTTTGGCTTGGGCTTCGGCTGCGCTGGATCAGCCTTCTTTTTCTTCTCTGTGGACTTTCCCTTGGCCTTGGGCTTGGCCTTCGCCGCTGGCTTCTTAATGAGCTCCACGCTGGCATCATCTCTGGCATCAGTGCCATCAGCGGCATCCCTGCCCTGCTTGCGAGCTTTCGACTTCACTGCTGCAGGTCGCTTCAACACCGGACTCTTCTTCGCGGCCGGTTGCTCTGGTGGATCAGGCTGACTCGCAGGAATCTCACCCTCAAGCATCTCTGTCAGCGTGTCGTCTTCCACAGGCGTTGCCATCCAAACGACCTATATAGTTCACTGTGCCCAGGCGCTGTATACCTACCGTACGTAAGTATAAGGCTCAAAAGGCGACGGGCAACATTTGCGAGAGTGCAACGTACAACCAGGAGAAGCAAGTACAACCAGGAGAGGCTGAGCGAGCTCAGCAGCCAATGCAGAAATATTAATTTGAAACAGCTTGGGCTTGGACTTTGAGCTTGCTCGGCCTTTCCACCACTTGTGTCCCACGCGGTCATGTATACTCCAAGCATGGCCAGGCAAGTGCAACACAAGTCATGCGCTCCAAGCGTGGCCAGGCAAGTACAACACAAGTCAAGTTTGCACTGGGTAGGGGCATGTATACTTGCGACCACCAAGAGTTGTTGCCACCAAGAGTTGTTTGCAGCGGCTGTTCCAAAGTACACCTTCGGCATTGCTCAAGCCTTGAAATCTTTAGATGTTTCTTCAAGAAATTGAGCAGTTCTGGTCACACAACTGTGCTGTCCCTTAAAAAAAAAGAGCTGTTCCTGAAAAAAAAGAGGCTCCTCCTTCAAGAAAATGGCTGCCCGCAGTGATTGGTTTCACAATTTTAGTGCCCCGAGTGCTCAAACTGCACTCAAACTGCATCCAAACTGCATCCAAACTACATCCAAACCACATCCAAACTGCATTATGATGATGCACTTTTGTTTGAAACTGCATCCAAACTACATCCAAGCTACATCCAAACTGCATTATGATGATGCAGTTTTGATCCAAACTTCATCAATGTGATGCAGGGTTGATCCAAACTGCATTGAAACTGAGGTTCTGTATCAAAAGTGCATTGGCGTGTTGCAGTTTCATGTGTCGCCAATGCAGTTTCGGTACAAAGTGCATCATGGTGATGTAGTTTGGATGCAGTTTGGATGCAGTTTGGATGCAGTTTGGATGCAGTTTGGATGCAGTTTGGCTGGGACTTCATTGTTTTCTGTCACGGAGGCTCTGACAAACTCGCAAATTGCCCAATCCGCGCCTTTTTTTCCAAGCAGATCGAGACTGCAAATTGAAGCACGCTGCCCGAAGCGGTGGCAGCAGCCCCACACCAGCCGTTATAGAATGCATTGTTTCTCTTTTCATTCCTGTAGGAGTTGCTCACATTCTCTCTTGGCTGGGTGGCCGCGCTCTTATACGTTAAATGCAGAGTTTTCAGGCCAGGGCACGGTATACAAGTCAAGGCCGCTACACATGACTACACGGTGGTCTCTGAGTCACTCACACGTTAGTCACTTCAATTGGCTCCCTTGACTTGCACACAAGCGCAGACGACGGCGAACCGTAAAAAATGCAAGAGTGCACAAGTGACCTTGTAATTATAAGGGAGCCGCCTTTGTGATTACGCCTTTTCACCCCTGAACCGCCTAGAAGTAATCCCACGCTACGTCCGGCTCCTCAGCCGGCAATGTCGGACTCAGCTCCTGCGCGAATCAGTGCAACGCAATGCATACAAGCGTGGGCAAGCACAAAAGTCCTCGGATTCCGTGGGCAAGGACCGTCGCTCTCCTGGCACAAGAACAGTGTACCAAACGCTCACTGTGTACATGCCGCGTAAAGGCCTCGTCTGGCGATGGCGTCGTAGCTAGGGCCTGACAAGCGTCCAAGTAGGGTGAACAACATTGAAGTTGCAGCGCCTTAGCCAACCTTGTCGCCGGGTTGGCTGACCCACGGATTTCAACCTGTCCGGCAACGCACACATGACATGCGGCGCAGATAGCCGGCTGACGCCTGGACGGGCTGCGCGGGCGCGCTTGACGGGTACGCCTGGCCAGTGAAGAAGCCCGAACGGAGTCAAGTCTAATGAGAATACAACTGCAAAGAGTCTTCAGTTGTACACTCGTGCAATTGTACATTGTACACTTGTATTGTACACAGCAGTGTACATGTCAAGCTATGCCTCTGAATCCTCAGCATTCTCATCTTCCTCAGAGTTCTCAGCGTTCATGAGGGTCCTGAGCGCCTCACAAAAGTGTGTACCAGCCGGCGGAAACGTGAGTACATATCGTACACTCACAATGTGAAGCACAGATAGATGTACAAGCAAAGAAGTGTGGTATACATTGCACATGCAAAAGGGCAACGCTTTGTGTACAATCCAAGCACACCTCTTATACATTCACACGACTCCCAAGCCCAGCCTTCGAGGAACGCGGGGTTCCAAAGGCATCGAATTTCCTCCGCTTCTCAGGGGGTGGCCTGGAAGAACTGGCAGCAGGAACTCCGGAACCAGCAGGAACTCCAGCGCCCTCGCCAGCAGGAACTCCGCCGCCTCGCCGCTCCGCGCGTTCCCGAACGGCCAGATCCCGTTGCCAGCAATAGTACGCATGGTACTCGTTGTCCGGCAAGAGGAACCGATACTTATTTTGGTCGTGCTCCCGCAAAGTTCGCTCCTCAAACCCAGGTCCGCTGTAAGCAGCTAGACGCGCCATGCTTTGAATCACACCCACCAGGCCTGCCGGCGACGGGCTTGTCGGGCTGCTGACGGGGCCGGCCGTTTTCGGCGGTGTGATTGGGCTCACATGTGACACCACCGGCGCAACAGCTTGGATTTTCATCTGGGCTGATGGCCGTGGAGCAGGTGCCGGGGGTGGTGGCTGCCGTGGTGGCTGTGGCTGCAGTGGTGGTGGCAGTGGTGGTGGTGGCAGTGGTGGCTGTGGCAGTGGTGGTTGTTGTGTCTGCAGTTGCGGTGGCTGTGGTGGAAAGGATGGTAGTGGGGCAGGGGGGGGTGGTGCTGGTGCTGGCGCCGTTGCTGCCGTTGCTGCCGCTGGCGGCCGAGCCCGCTCTGCATGGTGGTCCGCCGCCCGAAACGCCTTCAGCGCCTCTGTCATATCCGCATCGCTGTCGTAGTAGAGGAAGGCACTTGTCTGCGGCTGGTAGCGCATGCGCATTGTACTGCTGCGCCCTCGCCAGCACATCCTTGGTAGCGGCGCAAGTTCGTGCACGTGTGTGTACAGTTAGTTCATGAGGGTTCGCAGTTTCAAGGCGCATGCTTATACAAGTCAAGGCGAGGCGCTGCTTTGGTGACATTCCCCGGCCAATCAGCTGTGTACAAGCGGCTCACCATGACGCACACCAGGTACCAAGTTGTCAAATGCAAGTACACCTCTTGAACAGTGTGCGACACAGATGCAGGCTGCGTAGTGGCGTAGTGGAATGCTCCTTGTGCAGTGCCGATGCAGCTTTGTGCATCATACCCACCTCGGTTGTATCACATGTGCATGTGCGTGTGTCCTCTCATGCATCCCCCATCGGAGGTTCCTTGTTTTTGCAAGAGCCAAAATGGAGCCGCCAGAAAAATATTGTTCATGCTGCATGCGAAACCTGCAAACCCTCCTCCTTTGGACATGTACAAGCGCATGCGCTGTGTGGAACTCGTTTTCCGCTATGGTTCAAATCCAACCACGGTGTATTTGTCAGTGGCAGTTCTAGCTTGACAAACTGGCAAGCTCAATTCAATCACAATGCGCGTGTTACACAAAAGGGCGCCAGTTTGGAGTCAGTCACATGACACTTGCCGGCAAGGACGACATCACACACCACAGGTCAAAGTCCACAAAGCCCAACACACGCGACATGTGCGTGGCACAAGCAGCAGTGTGCAGCACACGCTATCAGTCTACATCCTCCAGCTTCTCAGTATCCAACTCCGCTGCCGCCTCCCTGGAAGCAATGCGGCCCAACTCCGCGGCCTCATCCTCGGTCTTGCCCTGCTTCAGGGCGAAAGACTTGGCCTTGTGGTACGCGGCGCTTGTGGCGCGGTGGCGGAGGGAGCACTTCTGCAAGTTTACCGCGCCGGCCTTGGGCTTGGCAGCCGCCTTGGCTTCGGTCTTGGCGCCCGCCTTGGCTTTGGCCTTGGCGCCTGCCTTGGCTTTGGCCTTGGCGGCCGCCTTGGGCTTTGTTGCCGCGGTGGGGGCGCTGGTCTTGGCGGCGGGCCGCTTCAAAGCAGACTTCCTCCGAACTGGCTCACCTTGTTTGGCCACAAACGGCAAACATGTGGAACATCCAAATTGTTGTATACAAAAATTGGAGTTGGGTGTACATGCAAAAACATCTAGTGTCGCTGTATTTAAACTATACTCACCTCTACAACAAAACCGGAACACAAGACACAGCCCCACAGGCCTGAAGCAGCCGAAGGGAGATGGGCGGCTGCATCTTTGAGGATCTCAGACTCACTCATCGCATCGCCCTTCTTAGCCTTTTTGGAAGGCACAGGCTCAGCACACTCGGCCCAAGCTTCCGAAGAATGAGGGCTGGAGGGCATGACACGGAGCTGCAAGCCGGATTCGCGGCGAGAGGAGTGGGAGGACAAGCTTTCAAATGTGATCTCATCAGTGACCAACTGCGTGGTGTGTGGAACCAAAGGCTTGATGCGCTCGCCGTCACCGGGGCCTTTCTGCTCGGTATCCAGCACGTTGATCACCCCCTCACCCTGTGTGTCACTGCCATCCTCATTGGCATTCGCCGCCACCTTATCCATCACCTTGGTCAGGCGCTTCTGCTCCGTGGTGTCCAGGCAGGCGACGCATGAATCGCTCCCGCGAAGGCTGGTCGCTGAGCTTGACGGCGCGCAGTTGGGACAAGCTGATGCGAACGCACAGGTCGATGTAGTCGGCCAAATCAGACACCGTCTTGGTCGTCGAGTTCACAACTTCACCGGATTCGATGAGGGTCAAAATCGCATCCCTGCCACCGAGTCCGAAATGCAATCCGGCAAGCTTTACTAGCCAGTTCGGGTCAGGCCTGCTCTTCCACAAAACCTGACTGACGCCAACTGGACAGCTGAAGGCATCCTTAGAATTCTTGAAGGCGAGGTAGCCGCGCAGGCAGTCGGCCAGCTGACCAACGCTGACTCGAGGGTCAGCCACAAGCCTAGACCGATTGAATCCTCGCCCTCCATGAGCGTCTGAAGGGCTGCCATGTCGCGTGCAGCACCT